TCATTCCCTAGATTTGACAGTAATTAAATTGAATTTAAACAAGTAACTTGATTTAAAAATGGGCAAATAATCTGGATAGATATTTCTCAAGATATACAAATACCCAACAGGTATATGAAAAACTACTCAACATCACCTGATCATCAGGGAGACACAAATTGAAACCATAATGAGATTTCATCTCACATCTGTTAGAATGGCTATTGTCAAAAAGACAGAGGGTGCTGAATGTTGGTGAGAAGGTGGAGAAAAGGGAACTCTTGCATACTTTTGGTAGAAATGTAAATTAGTGCAGCCATTATGGAAAACAGAATGGAGGTTCCTCAAATAAGCATAAATATGTCTCTCTCATGATGTGGCAGTCCTGCTACTGTGAATATGTATCACATGCAGTGAGTGACATGCAATGAAGATCTCCTGCAGGCCCATGTTCATTTCAGCACTCTCCACAGCAGCCAAGACGGGGAGTCTGTCCGCAGATGAACCGAGAAATGAAATGTGGCACTGCTCAGCCTTCATAAAGAAGGAAATCTTGTCATTTGTGACAACATGGATGGACCTGGAGAACTTCATGTGCAATGAAATAAGCCAGGCACAGAAAGACAGATACTATTAATACAGGATTTCACTTATAATTAGGCTATAAAAATTTTACCTAGAAGCAGAGAGTAGAATGGTGGTCGCCAGGGGATGGGGTAGGGCAGATGCTGGTCAAAGGATACAAAATTTTAGGCAGGCAGGAGGAATGATGCTGAGATGTGCTGTACAACATGGTGACTATAGTGAATAACTATTGTATTTTGAAAATCAAGAGAGTGGATTTTAACTGTTCTCAACACAAAAATTTATAAATATGTGAGGTAATACATATGTTAATTAGCTTGATTGAGCCATGTTTGCTTCAAAACATCATGTTTTGCACAATAAATATACACAATATTTTCTAATTAAAAAAGAAAAATTTGAAAAAAGAATATAATTTTAATTATTTTAAAGAAGTGTCTTGCCTAACTGCTCTTTATCTTGATATTTGGTCTATTTATTGAGTAATTACTTTCTATCCACATTGGGTTTTGACGCCTCTCTAATGTTAATTTTTTATATAATGGAATCTGTTTATTCACCTATCAGTTTTTGGTCCCAGAACACCTTTAAGTGTATGGAAGCTTTTGATGTGTTTAATATTTGGAAGGGGCATTAGTCTCTCACTGACTTTATGTCTCAGAATTATCAGTGATCTGGTTCTTTACACCTCCACATGATTTTTTTTTTTTTTTTTTT